ACACTTAAATGGAATAATTCCAGAAGGAGCTTCAAGGTATGGTAATTCATTGATGAGTTTAGTCCCCTTAAATATCTTGATTTTGAATTCAAAACGTCCTAAGTTAGAATGAATATTTTCGAAGCATTGACTAAAATCAGCAACGATAAGTTCATTGGTAGACGAGTCAAAAATATCTCCAAGGCACATGCACTGAGAAAAAGTTGATAAATTTATGGTTATATCATGTTTCGCAAGTAACCAAGAATCACTGATTGCCATTTGATACATAGTAGAAATTTGCTCCTTCGTATGATCTGTTACCATCATTTTTACATTTGTGCAATAAGAAGCCCCAATCTATAACAAGAAAGAAGTAACCAGTTAGACAAGTAATAAAAGTTATTCGGAAGGACAAAATGAATTTATAAACACAGAAAACTGATATTTTATTTCCGTTGAACTTTCTTCATATCGTTAAAATTTCATTAAAACCTAAAGAAAAACCTACTCAATATTGCTATTTAGCACTTTGACAACTTTTAACATCGAAATCACTTTATATTTTAGTAATTCTAAACTCATTACGGCGATAACTTATTAACTATAACGAATGAAGTGCATTATCAATATACTAAACATTTTTATTTTTCAGCGCGTTTACGTTTTCTACACAAAACTTAGGAATCAAGTATGAAAATTTGTATGAGATTTAGATCCTAAAATGGTAGCCTAGTACGCATCTCTTATTTAGATAAATATTGTTAAAATGAGAAAACTGGATCTTAAAAAGGCACATGGGATAATTTCATATCTGTTTAGTTCAAAGGTTAATGCGAAAGACTTGGATATTCATTTTGTAACAGGCTGTCAGATATGAAGTGAATTAATCTATCAGAAAGACAGTAAAATGCTGTCTGTAAAACCGAAAGGTACAGTGATTTTAACGACCAAGCCCTCAAAACTTTCATTTGGATTTGATGAAACTAATAAATATATCACGAACTCGTCATTACTATTTATAAATTAAGTCGACAAAGGAACATTTAGGTTCACTGTAGACAACACTGGATCGCCTTTAGTGAAAATAATCTCTTTCTTCCTCATTGTAGTGACAGAACTGAAAGGACACTCACTAATTTAAGATGATGAAAAAACTGCGAAGCAATCACGCTTCACTGTGATCAGCTAAATAATAGAAGCTAGAAAGTTAGAAGAACCATGTTACAGAAACCTACACAGACTAAAATTTTAATGAGTCAGTTCTGATAAAATTTATCTTTTCAATTTGCCCAAGCAGTTTTTTATATCTTACTAAGAACCTAAAAAGTAAGTTTTAACAAAATCCTGACTGATGTTCGATTTCCTATGGATAATAAGATCGATAAACAAATAGGTTTAATCAAGCATGTTTTATTTTAAGTTTTGGTGAATCTTCTATAAGGTGTTTAAAATTCGTAATGTGATAAATCTGTCGGTGATTTGAGAAGAGATGGTGCTTTTGAAATTCGTTATGATGGAACATTTTACTCAATATAGCTGTTTAAAGATAAAATAATAATCATCTGTAGGCTAAGTAAACAACTTTAACACAGGTTTGTAACTGTTTCGGAAATCAGTACCGAACTTCTCATAAAATGTTGGGAAACTGAAAGAACATCCACATGAAAATCAAGTAGGTGAAAGATTCATACTGTAAGGCTAAAGAGTAGTTGTTACTGTTGTTGCTGTTTTAAAAAAAAGTTAAACACATCTCTTGGAAACTACTAAACGAAAACGATATTGGTATTTCATAATACCACTACTCAGCATGCTACAATCATCCATAAAGTATGCGATCTCAAGGTTCACCCTAACCTTATCAAGTATAAAACCCTAGAACGATTGTTTAGCCAAGCCATTAAAACTTGAGAAGGCGACGAGTAGACTAAAAACACTTTTGACGATTTTATTATGAGAAAAATGAGGGTCAACCAGATGGTTTTGATCAGGAGATCATATTGTTAAATACATAGTGTTTTAAGAAAGTAGAAAAAATTCAGTAAAACCTTATTTTATAAATTTCGGGTTAGTACACAATAGGATGGCAAAATATGGGCATGGATTCAGAAGGCTCGACCGACTTTTGACCACTTGGGTAACTTGTAGCGTAGGAGAGATATCCATCTGCCAACGAAAGAACGAGTTTAATGCCCATCAGTTATGGATGTGAAACATGGCCATCTAGAACAGAGGATATACGTAGGTTACTAGTATTCGATGATAGGTATCTTCGAAGCATTGCTTCTGTATTTTGGGACCACTGAGTTACCAATGCCTGGATGAGAAATAGGATAATAAGTAAGAATGGCAAATCGATTGATGAGGTAGTGAATCTTCAATAATTGAGGTGGTTGGAACATGTGTCACGTAGGTCAGTGAATATGATCATGACCTAGCAAATAAGCCAATCGATCTTCGAGATTATACTTGAACACTTGAACTCTTTCCCGAAATATAGTGGTTTGGGGCTGATGTTGTTTTGGACATTGTAGGTTTATATTGAATATCGAAACAAACATGATTAAATACTTTCTCAGTTCGCCTTTGCCCTTTTTATTGCCATCATTATGAAAATTGGACAATGTGGACGATTTGCTAAGAGTTTGTACACAACATATATCAAACATTATCCAAAATTTGGATACAAGCAACAATTATTTAAATAATTGACCGATCGGAGGTGGAAGAGAACAAGATAGAGACTTCTGCAAAATAATATGCTTGCATGAAGACAAAAATTCGGAGGGGGGTATATAATGACTTATATCCAAAAATTAGAAACGGTTTAAAGAAATAAAATGTGGACCGTGAGATGCCAGTGAATGAGTACGTCTTTTAAGTTACTAAGTTGACCGAAACTAAGGAGGTTCATGCAGGATTATAAACATCTACCGGGCAACTATTTCTGAAAAATTAGGCACTTCTGCAATGATATAGCATGACCAGATTGCGCGCACAGAGAAGCGAAGTGTACATTAACAAACTATCAAAAGTTTCATAAAAAAACATGTTAAGGAATGGCGTTAGGTGAACATGTAAGATATAAAGGTTTATAAGAAAATAACAGCCAATTTGATTTTCCTGTCTGAAATAGTAAGTATAAAAAGATGGATGGTTTGTAATAATACGGGCAACAAGTAACACTAGTGATGCACGAGCGGTAAAACAAGAGATTAGTGCTTTAATTCCATATTTTAAGTGTAGTCAAATTCAATCACCGTTATTGTATATGGTCCTTCATAGCGTCAGCAAACAACAAGAAAGGTAACCTGGGGTCCTGGTTAGATCACTCGTATAAAAAAATAAGTGGTAAAGGTTCAAAGGCTGTACGTTAAAGAAATCAACTTCTCATCGATTATTTTGTGGGTAATGCATGATTTGTTCCTTCCCGTTCTCATCTACTGCCCTCCTGGATTGTATTTGATTCTTAAACATTTTGATCTCCAAGCTGACTTAGATGAACTAGTTAGATGGGCTCGAGGTTGGGGTTTAAGAGTTAATTCTAGGAAGAGTGTGCTCATGCACACGGTAATAGTTACCATTATACGATTGACGGTATATCTCTTCAACGCGTTCGGGAACAAAAAGACTTAGGAGTAATAAAAAGTCATAAATTGAAAACAACTGCGCATTGCAGCGCAGATGCTGCCAAAGCTTATCGTGAGTTATGGTCACTTCGCCGAGCATTCTGATGCTTTGACGAAAAAATGTTTCGAATTTTATATCCCAACTATGTAGGATTACGTTTAGAGTACTGTGTGCAAGCAGCTAGTTTATGTTTGATAAAGGATGCTAACTCACTTGAGCGTGTTCAGCCTATGGAAATAAAATTAGTGAAGGGTCTTTCTAAAATCCCTTACGATGAGCGCTTAAAACGCTTAAACCTTTCCATTTGTCGTATCCGACGACGCGAGGTGACTTCATACTGGGATTTCGTATCTTTAATTATGGTTTAGTTGTTGATATGTCTTATCTTTTTGCTCCCTCCAGCACTAATAATCTCTGAGGTCATGGTAAGAAGGTTCATAAAACACGATTTAATAAATCTAAAAAGAGGACCAGTTTTTCACGTTGAGTAGTCCATAACTAGAGCGTTTTATCCGAACAAGTGGTATCAGCCCCTCAGTTAATATTTTTGAGTAAAAGCTGGACCTTTATTGGAAGGCAATCTGTCAGAGTTGACACAGGTTCGCCAACTTACAGTCCTTATTACTGAGGACAAACTTAGGACTGATGTTCCTCCAACTCAAGCTACCAAAAAAGTGGAAATAAAGGTGAAAAAAGGAGAAATAAAGAGGAAATGTCGCTTTTTCACCTTCACGTCGGTTATTTAGAAGAAATGGTCTTTAAATACCATGTACTAGACCATATCTTAGATTGTAACTAAGTCTACGGATACAAAACCTACGAGTCTACCTTCATTTGTAGCCGAAGGTTAGCGGGCTTCAATAGAAAACAGTAATTAAACATCAGTAACTCACTTTAAAGTTGTGTGGTTCACTTTTAACAAGAACTCGTGTTGAGAGTGAACGAGTTTACTTTGGGGTTAAGGCAGGATATTGATCCCATCCAACAAATTTGAAACGTCATTGGTTTTAAAATGATCAACTGTCGTAAGTTTTGCTTCAAAAAAGCCAGTACAATCACTTTCATATGCCTTTTAAAACGTATGGCCTTTCATCGTTTTTGAAACACAATACTATGTATGAAAACTTGTTTCCAGGCCGTCACAATCACGACTCATAAAACTTTATACTTTCCAAACTGACATCCTTGGAAGTGATAACAAATGAAACTTACTGTTATTTTCGCTGTGAATCAACAAATTTAAAAATCCACGCATTTTGTTGTTTTTGATTTGATGCGTTTAAACAAAACTATGACAATGAATCCACCGTCGAAAATTTTCATTATAGTATGAAAATAAAGATCCGATCAATAAATAAATTCGTTATCCAGATTAAACTAGAAACGCAAAAGTTTATTACAATGAATCTGTCTGGATATTCAATAAATCACACACTTGGCTGTTTGACGGATGTTCGGTCTCTATAGAGCAACAAACTTTCTATGCATATTATTTTTGCTCCAAACTTACTCACAACGTATTCAGGTAATCTATGAGGGGCAGAATGTTGCATTCTATTGTAATGCTACCGGTGGCTCCAAAAATGATTACATACACTACCAATGGGAGGTTAATAATCGTGATCTAATAGCCACTGATGCCTACTTTCATATAAGAGGCATTCAGAAAAGTGATGAGGGTGAGTATAAATGCATTGCTACTCAATATGTAAATGGGACTCCTATCGTCGCAACTGAGTCCACATTTATCAGTGTTCGCAAAGGTGAGTAATCTGACTTTTTTTAATGTTCCTGTAAATACGTTTTTGTGTCTTCAGTACTATTTAAGTGTTCACAAACATTGTAGTGAGTTCCGTCCAGACTATTGTTTTCCAACTGATGTGATCCTTGTAGAAATCCTCTAAATCATTATAAAGTTCTGGACAGTCTTTTAATCTATTTGTGGAAGGTCACACAATTTGTTCAGGGATTAGAAAGCAGTTTTCTAATACGTCTTTTTACTTTAGTTTTTCATTAAACCCTTCCACTTACCGAGAAATTAACGTTTGATTATTTTCACTGAAAATTTCGAGAGAAACTTCTTTTTATTTCAAATATTCCATTTCAAAATCATATCACTCTGTTTTAGACACTCCATACATCACAGTTTTTGATAAACTAAGGATTCTAGAGTTTATTTTTTATATGATTCTATAAGGTTAAAACTCACTGAGGTTTCATTAATTCAAACCAACTAGGCTTTTTATACAGGAATATTTTGGTAATCTCTATTTTTTCTCTACATTATTTATTTGAGAAGAAAACAATTCTTATGTCAAACCGAATTCCTAATAGCCGTGAATTTTAAATGTTGAAATCGTATATGTTGTTAATTCATTTGTTATCTTTTCACAAAGGCATTATTCAAATCTTACTACTTAAAAGACATATGAAACTAGTGTTTAGCTTTTCCGACATTTAAGTGTTTATGTTATGATGAAGCATAATTTATCAAATTTTTTAAACCAATGAAGCATTATATTTTGTATTGTGAACTGATTGGTTGTATTGAACATTACTCAAATATAATCGACAAGCACTATAATCAAAATATTGCAGGTTTATTGTTATTTATTTCATAAGTAACTGGGGGAGTAATACAGGATAATTTTATTCATAGAATGACAGTTTAAAAACTAGGGTTGATTTTGTTGTCAACGTATATAAAGTTTTAATTTCATTTTACTCTGTTATTTTACTTATCAATGCTCTAAATATCTATCATTAGAAAACGTACAATTTGGGGAAAAATGGATTTTAGTAGCCTTAAGACAAGTGAAATGAATCATGCTATTAATTTATCTCGAATTATTAGATAATATACATTAAGAACTTTTATAAAGTCTATCTATCACAATTTCAAGTAATCAACATTAATTTGAATTTAATTATGTTGATTAAGGTTGATAATTTACCTCAATAGAATGAAAAAGTTCTTGAACGGAAGCAAACAATTGCATTTTCTTTTATTATGAACTAGTGTTTACCATTTAAACAGGACTTATAAACAGATTAAAAATTGCAATTTGAATCATTCCGTGGTTGATATTTTCTATGGAATTTTGATTAATCTTGATTGGCATATGTATATCATATGTGGATTGCCTCGATATATCCATTATGTTAGAAATTATGCGAATATCACGGATATAGTTTTTACAACTAGATTATCTTTATTGAAAACTCAAAATCACTTTATCATTAAAATAAGTTGATTATTTGAATTGTCGGTTGTAACGATTAGATAATTATTATTACTATAGGATTTATAGCTTTTACATATTTTCAGCGATTGCAGACTTATTATTAAGTAAACAATAAGTATTGATTGTTTCAACGAAAGTAAATTAAAAATGTGCACAAATGCAGTTACTTGAAGATTCTACGAATTCCTGTAGAAACTCTTTTTATGTAATAATCAGTATAATGATAAATTATCTTATTTATTAAGAAAAATATCAGAAGCTTAATTCTTTCTCTTGTTTTGTATCATCAAGATGTAATCGATTCTAATGTAAAAATCACTATGATTAGGCATACTAAACTAGAACAAATGAATTTACACTAAATAAAATTCTATTATATTCAGTGATTCCTATGAAAGGTAAAAAGTCTACCATAAATAATTCTAATATGAATCCATAGAAAATAGATCACATCTGTAAGTTTAATTCATACCTATGATTAAATTTCATAGTTCAACAAATCTATGTCTATTCCTCTTACTTACACATCGTGAAGGAGCATAGACCGCCCGACCGACACTGTTCTGGGCAATTCTATTACAGGAGAACTGAAGACATTTGACGGATTAAAACCTTTTTATTGTATATTAATAATTTACTGTATTTTTGGATGTATTCGTTTTACTTAACTTTTGAACTTGTTTGCTTATATCATTATTTCGGACATTTTGGTTTCCCTTTGTCGTTGGTTTGGTATTTGGTAGTTTTGCTCCGGGAACCTACAAAATTGAAGGTTTGTTTTGTAATTGTTATAATTATTGTTGTTAGAAAGACGTTTGGTTGACTATTTGTGAATTGCAAACAAATTTGGTATCTGAATTGGAGTTTTGGTTCTGTTGTCAATTTGTGTTCGTAATTTGCAAGTAGATCGATAGTTCGTACTTCAATAACTGGAACGAGCAAAACTTGGACGTAACAATGCTTTCCAGTTCTTTCCAGTTGTTATTCATTTTTTTCATATCTGCTTCCATTTCCTGACGTAGTGTGTTCTTTAGACTTCCTCTTCAAGATTCCTAGTTAGAGCTTGCCTCGTAATACAGTGCAATGATTTCCTGTTTGACTAACTTCCTCCTCAGCTGAAAGTTGGTATGTTCTCTCCCAAAGTGGGCTGTTGCTGACGATATCAGGGTAACGGACATTCAGTATCTTACGTAGACAATTGTTTATAAATACTTGTATATTTTTGGTGATAGTTGTAATAGTTCTCCAAGATTCGGCTCTATACAGTAGAACTGTCTTGACGTTCTCACTAAAGATTCTGACTTTGATAGTGATTGACTTTTGTTTTGTGTTCTATATGTTTTTCAAATTTAGGAATACGGTCGTTGCTTTGCCGATCTTCTCCTTTACGTCTGCGTCCGACCCTTCATGTAATATCTAATCTTCAGTTGAGCTATAATATACATTTTTGTATTCGTGAAAACGTAATGATACTACCTGATGAGTTACATCTGGTTTATTTACACTTTCTCGTTAATCATAAGAACCATTGAAGGTCATTTAATGATATTTCATTCGAAATAATTGATCATGGGAAACTAAATTATTTTGTAATCATTCTAGCGGTTAAAGGTAAACAAAGATTTTGAAAAAATAACGAATATAAGGATTAGAAACTATCATTTGAGTAAATTTATATAAGTTGAGATACGTAATCTACACAAACTCGTTAAATGAAATGGTTAATTGTTGTATTTATAATGGAACATAACTGATTTGTATGGTTAATGTGGCACTTCTTAAAGTGACACACTTTTTTACCTGAAAGTGTAATATTTCAGTGATAACAGAAACTTTTCAAGAAGAGCCTCTTAATGTTATTCTTAACTTTTCTAATACTTATTATTATCAGTATGACCAGAGCCACGATTGTAACTAATTGCTGTTGTAGTATGTTTGCTTGAAATGTTCAATTATCTTAGCCTATTAAACACAAATTAGTTTAAACTTATGTTTCGAATTTTATTCTTTAAACAATTAAGTGTGTTTGTACAGTACAATTCCACCTATTACTTCATGTTATTCTAGATTATCAATAAATGATATAATTTACTTTAATGGCTTCATGATGAGCTAAATTCTTTTGCGTTACTGTGATATTTAAAACTATTCGAATAATTATATTAATTGGGAATCCCCGAAATAACTCAGTTTAAGTGAGAGAGAACAAGGTGAGCACAAACAAACGTATTAAAGTTGAAGTTCGAAATCGGTCACCCATCAAGTACTAAAGAATCATTAGTTCATACAAACGCCACAGCTACGTATCACTATTTCATGGATTTTAAATCTTTAGAAAATAATGATCTGATTTTATAGTAAACTTTAACATGTGAATTTATCATAACTCCTCAGATTTCGTATCACCAAAAACAATTGAATATGTTAAAAGTTTCACATAAAACTAAATCAGAAGTGTTTTGAAAATTACTTTCATCCTCAGTGGATGAAAAACTGGGCCCAAAATTATTACTGTGGTGTGTGCTACTTACGTCGACAGATATAAGTAGTATGTAACATCAATCAAAAGTTGAATGGCTGACAATATAAGGTTGGAAAGATGGTATCGAAGAGGACAGGAACAGTAAAATTTAAGACAGTTGATAGAGGATTTTCAAATGAAGCATTTAATGTGTGGTTCTGATATTTTACCAAGATATTCTGTAACTTTGCACTGAACTATAAGCTGGTTGTCCGCACTTGAGTTCTCGTTCACTACAGTATCACGAAATATTCTGGATCGCTTCATATACGTTTTAACAATTATAGTAGGAGTGGATTTGATCGTTGTAAATAAGTTACCGATAAATATCATGTATTCTATTAACTGTTACAATTTTTTTACATAGCATCCGTTTTCAGGATTAGTAATAAAAAGTTAAATGTAGTATGTGACATTCAGACATATAAAGGCAAGTACGTGAAATTGACTAAGTATTGACTGAAAAGGTTAATAATCTCAGTTAGAAACGTCAGCTACTGATTTGTACATTAGTGAGAAAAATAATAAATGATTTTAGTGGTCTACTCAATTAAATATTTTGTTCAACATGGATCAAATATCTACTTAACCAAAGCCTATATTTAAACAAAATAACTTCTGAATGCTCTCTATCTAACCATTGCATGTTTCGAATGCATGTAATATAACACATAAATAAGCTTATGCAATGTTTACCGCTGTTCATTGCAATAAGCTGGATACCAATGTCATTTAGTTTTAATCGCTAGACATAATGGTTTTAGATTAAACCACACGTTTCTAGGCTATTTAAACAAAACAGTGTAGATTCAGGTTCAAATGAATTCTGATTGTATTTTAAGGGCTTGACAAAATGTGGGATATTCAAAGCCGATACGCTATATGTTGCTAAGTCATTAGAATACAATAAGAGTTTAACTGATATAGAATTCAAACTTTTTTGAACAGATAGGCATAATGCAGTTTCACCTGATACAATCATCGCATTTTTGAAAAT